GCAAGCAGACGATGCCTTTGCTCTTCCTGCCAAGTCCAATAAAAGACAAACGGCAATGCTGCCCTACATCCTGGAGACAGCTCTTTGTTTTATGTACACGAACTTGATGCCTACCAGCAGAGAGATTGATGCGTCAATCAAACCCGCCTTGAGGCTGCTTTTGCTTGGCAAAGCAGCCTCAAGGCAAAGCCCAAGACACAGAAAACAGCAGCAAGGCCACAAAAAGCTGCTGGGAGCCCATTCCTGCACAAGGTGCACCAGGAAGGGCAAACCGTGTGCCTAAAGGGGAGGTAGTCTTGCCTGTACCAGCATGGTTTGAGTTTGGAAAAGGGTCAACACTGTAGCCAGAGACTCTCTTGAGACACTAGGGTAGCTTCTTCAGCTGATCAAGAACGCTAGCGATACTCTTTTGATGCCAAAGTCCACTGTAGCTAATGATAAGATTGATTGGCCAGGTGCCGTAACGCTCATTTTGACAAACCGCAAGGAATACGAGGCTCTGACATCAGTGTCAGGAGTAGAGATCATCTTTTTACAGAGAGAATTTAATTATCTTTATTAGCAATTAACATCATCCTCAATTCTTGTGCTGCAGCTAAATGCTGTGGCCTTAATCAAGATCCGGTCAAAGATCCGTTGCACCCAGCCCTCTGCAAGGGCAAAAGCTGCAGCCCGACAACAGGACATTAAATGAGCCAGGCCAGGTAAGGATAGGAAAAAAGCAGAAGGTAATGACACGGGAAGTTGCTTTAGCACCAAGTAGCTGCTAGTCAGAAGTAGCAAGCTCCCTTCCTGTCCTCCAGAGCCTGAGTATGGAGACCAACATTTGGCCATAAACATAGACTTAAAAAAAAATTAACAGATGGTCATTATTACTCATATGCCATCTGCCAGCAGTCACATCAATCTCCAGGAATGCTCCCTGGCCTAAATGCTGGCTCCTCTGGATAGCTAGCTAATGGTTATTTCATTTCACTCAGGGTTCAAAGCCTCATTGTCTGGACTCCATACAGAAGGCTGGAGCAGGTGCCCTAGGAAACACAAATTCAACCACAGTGTCTCTACATTTCCTGCTTTATAAGTTCAGAAAAATGCATTATTTACTAAACATCTAAAAATTGCTAGTAAGCAAAAGACCTCAGGGTGTCTCCTTGTTCACAGCCATGTAAACATGTGCCCTGATTTCGTGCCATGGATTGACAGATAAAGGGTATGTCATCTTCTGCACAGCCTCGGCAAAACTCAAGGCTTTGAAACCACGTGATATTGACTCCACAAAAGAACAGGACATAGCCCCCAAAAAGCTTACTGTGATGTCTCTCCTTCACTGTGTAGCAAAGTTCATCCCCCCCCCGCCCAGGCCAAGACTGTACACCCTGACCAGCGAGGCTCCGCTTGTTAGAAGAACCACTTCCATTTCCAGCTCTGATGAGTACGAGCACATGATTCTACTCACCGCTTTGTGTGACAGTGTTCAGGTTTCTCCTGGCTTTCAGGTGCCAGTAAAAGATAGGACCCCATCCATCTGTGTCAGCTGAGCCACACACACACACACAGATATACACTCGCACATGGGCTGAAATAATTTGCATTCATTTTAACTGGTTTGATCAACAGCACACTAGCACACACTGTGAACTGGGCAGAAAGAAATGCTTTGGACTTAGGTCTATACGATCATCTGTGCACACCGAGTCACTCACTCCTGCTACAGTCCCGATCCCCAGCCAGGAAACACCTGGAATAGCAACAAGTCAAGTTCCAAGTTCCATACAAATTCAGGATTAATTATCAGGATAAACTATCTCGGGATGAGTTTGGATATAAACAAACCCAGTCACTTCATGCTTCCCCTGTTTCATTCCTTTTAAAAATGGAAAAAAAAAATTTTATCACTGCAGTTTTTTTTAATTAATAATTGACAGTAGTTGGCTGCAAAGTTTTCTCAAAATTACTCCGAACCTTACACGTTGACTGTGACGCTACTAAATTTGGGGGCATACAAATGTTCTGCAGCGTGCAGCTCCAGATGCATTGCGGAGGAGCAAGTGATCTTTCTGTGACCTCCTGGCCTGCTATGGGTCAAACCCAGCAGGCATCAGAACGGCTGGCAAATAGCACCAAGAACACAAAGCACAAACAGCAGCACCAAGCTACTTAACTCCCCTCCAGACTTTGTGCTGTGAAGAATTTTGCCCCCCTGGGGTGAGCAGGGGAGCCTGACAGAGATCTCATGACACAGCTAGAAAGATGAGTTTTCTGTAGCATCTAACGTTTCCATATACCGAATCCATCCAATAGTCAGATCAGCTACTTATTCCAGTATCTTCCCTCGGCGTCGCACATTGTAATAATCCTGAAGACTGCTGCAGCTGCTTTGTACGCCCCCCTCTAGCCCTGCAAAAGCAGCTCCTTGTTCTGTTGAGATCTCACAAAACCTCTACTTCAATCTCTCCACTAGAAGCTGAAGTCACATAAACAGCAATAACTCTGAGTCATTTTGAATGACATTGGGTTTCCAGGCCAGGAGGCAAAAATACTCTTTGCATAGAGCACGGCTCTTTTGGCCAGGTACACCAGAGAGGTATTTCTTCTTTAAAAATTCATCTTCACCTTCCTCTTCACTGTCAGGGCTCTTCCGTATAACTTTTTAGTAAAATGAAGAAATTCCACCACACTCACATTAGTGTTAGCACTGAAGTGACTGTGTAGGCTTTACCCACATACGCATTCAGATTAACATCACACAACCGACCCCTACATACTGTTTCAAATTCTAATAAAGTGGCAATTCTCTACCTAATAAACAGCCAGGTTTTCTCACTTCCTTTCAGCCAACAAGATTAAACTTACGCAACACCACCAAAGGTGACTCCCGGAAATGCAAACTCATGTTCCAGCTAAACGAAGGTTCCTTAGCCAAGGAAGCTTTGTTAAACTGACTCCTGGGCACAACTCCCGCTTCCCCAGCGGTGCTTCTTCTTCCAGGCAGCAACACGCACAGGTCCTGCACAACATGCTATTGTTCCCTCGGCCCAGGCAGAGAACCAACTACTATCTGGTTTTAAAGCTCTTTCTAAATAGCACAAAGCGGTCTGCATTATATAGCCAAATACACGTGACAGTCATCTTGATCCAGCAGTCCGGTAATGCAATGGGTCGGTCACAAAGCAGGCGCCAAGCTAGAGCACTCCACAGATCCCCTGGCTGGGAGATTCACGTGTCAGCAGGACCTACAGAGCAGGGGTTTTCCCCCGTTGTGTGCTGGAGCAACAGATGAGTGAGCAGCATACAACTGCACTCCATAGTCCTTCCCTCCCACCTCGCTGCTGTTCCTCCTCAGTCACCAAAGTCTGGGTGTTCAGAACCCCTTTTTCCACCCGCCCCCCCCATCTCCTCTAAATAAGGAAAACATCCAAGTAGTGAGAATGGCTGCAAATGTTTTAAGGGGCCTGAGGGCACGTGTACTGGAAGGGAGGAAAGGAGGAAGACAAAAAGAAATGGGATTTTTGGTAGGCGTTTGTGGTCCCTCCACAGTTCACGTCAGGGCAGCACGAGGCAGACATGAGGTAATCTCTCTGCTCAGCAAACTCTGCTTTCAAGCTGACGACACTCCCTGGCTCAGTAACAACAGCCTCAGCTGATGCTAAGGGGCACCTGTATCCCCAGGGCGCACGGAGGGGCTGGGGGCCTGTTTACCAGTGACCTCATTCAATTCTGCTGCCAAGGGCTGCGAGGCCGGACAACACAACTGTCCCATTTACACAGTGCCTCTGCACTCCAGCAGTCTCAGCTGCTCTTTCCTGTTCCTTTTACCTCATCCTGCCCTGGAGGAGTAGGAAGTCCCCTTACTCACAGCTCAAGGATGAGGACCACATCCGTCTTGTTCTCATAGATATCGTGCAACTTGATGATGTTGGCGTGCAGGACCTGCTGCAGAATAGTCACCTCCCGTTCAATTTCCTCACGTCTCACTCCGCGACGGCTGGCCCGACTCTGACGCTTTTTAATGAACTTTGCAGCATACTCCACGCCGGTGCTCCTGTCTCGGCATTTCTTCACTATGGCAAACTGGCCACTGCAAGGACAAGATAATAAAAACGCTCTTAAAGCTTTCACGTAACCCAATGGTAGTACCACACAGCTTCCTGAATGAGCTGCTCATACGCTAAGCTCGATCCTGCAAGCCCTCCAGCAATGATGCTACCGCACGATCCTGTTCTTACTACAATAGCGAGGACTGTCAGAATTCTGCAGTTAAAGTCACTAGAGCATAACAAGGCTGTGCCTGATACTCAGTAAGATCAAACAATGTCTGAACAGAAGGGAAGATACAAGTTAAGAATCTCTAAAGAATAGAGTTCATGTTTAAATGAATAAGACCTGGCTCAAAAGGTTCAAATTACCACTCCTTTGCTGGGTAATGCTTGAGGCATTCAAGTTTGCAACAGATCACTGGATGTTCTGAAAGGACATGCAGGCGTTGAAGCATCTCCGTGAAGAACAATCTCTCAGAAAAGGACTCAACAGATTGATGACACTTTGGAAACGCAGAATTGGTCAGCAGTAACCAATTTTCATAGAAGATAACGGTATATTCACCATTCTGCACTTCGCTTGAAAGTCTGGCTGTAAATGTAATTTGAGTAAGTGCATGTTCCTTACTATCAGTGCAAAGTCAGAGAATTTCCCATTTTACCAGATAGTAAAGTCGCTGCACCAAAGTTTTAAAAAGGCACGTACCTGCCATTTGCTAATAAAATTTTCCTGACTGTGGCTCCCTCAGTAAGAGAGACCAGTCCAGTTTTAATAGTTCCCTGTTATCTCCTAAGAAGGGAACACCTGGAGGTCAGATGACTATTTCAAAGAATAATAACCTTACAGGTTGCAGCCTTATGTCAGTGATGGGAACTTTTCAAAATAAGGCACGTTTTAGTGACTTTCCAATAGGAAACTATGGAGTCCTGCTTTATTTTCATTTGTATGAGCTTTTCTCCCATCACCATTCCCTTGAGAGGCACTGTTTGCAGTTTAGAGAGGCACTGTCTCCAGAGCTAAGGCTTTCTTCTCCTCATGTGTCTTTCTGAAAAAAAAAAAACTGTAACCAAACTGAGAGATGCCTTACTAAAATTAAGGAAGAAGGGTGGTCTGCAGCTAAAGCAGGGTTTGAGAGGTATGAACTCTGCGATAGGCAAGAATATGGCACGAAAGAGAATGATCAGTCACAGGATTCTTTACTCATCCCATTTGGGACCAAGTAACTTATTCCGGACAAGGAAAACTGTGTTGTATTGGAGGACTGCTTAACTATGCTTAAATCTTGACAGACATACAAAGCAGGAAATAAAATCGTAAGCCATTACCTTCAATTTGCATTTAGTCCACACAGGACATATAAGTGAGCCACTAACACCTGACAAAAGTTAGGTGAAGGAAGAAGGGTGGGACGGTAGCTGAAGTACTGGAGGGATTTGCAAGATCTGAATTCTGTCGTAAACTTACTGTATATCCTATTGCAAGTCACTTCTGCCTCACTCTGCCCCATCAGCAAAACAGGAAACAGACTTCCTTTCTTCTTCTACCCAGTGTGCCTACGTAGGTTTGTACACTGCTTAACACTAAGGTGTCTATCTCAGTTTGCTGCTACTATAGCAGAAATATTAAGGACAACTAGCACTATTCCATGCAATGGGATAGGCTCTTGTCCAAACTGTTTCTGAAAAGTAGAAAAAAACACACTTAAACAGAAATGCATTTCTTTTAATGAAGAATCACTCAGCAGAATTAATTAAGCACACCTGTATCCTTTTACGTTTGACTTAAATTTGTAACATTCAAATGAAGCAAAGAGAACAGCAGGCATATGGATTTAAATATATATTAACTACATCGCTTGATTAGTGAAGATACTAAAATATTTGGTAAGTCTGAAACCACATGAAAACTTGTATGGCTTGAGGTTTCATAACTCACTCTAAATTTCAACTAGCTTTCACTAAAAACAAGTTAGGATAAAGATTTTTCATAAAATTCACACAAAATCGCCTTGTTTGGGTACAAAAACTCTCCAACTTAGTTTTAGTATTAGTTTTCCTTTAGATCTTACAAAACCAACTCAAAACTGAACAGGTCTGAACAAAAGAGAAGCTAGAGCTAAAACACATAAACCACTGATGATGATTCTTTCAATCAGAACTGACACAGACTCGCTGGTGTCCTAATTCAAGCACTTCCAGCTCAAGCAACAATGAGGAATAAGAATATTTGGTTTATGGCTTGACATTTGCTTCAGTCAGCTCAAACACAAATGAGGTCAGTCTACTCCTTTCAGAATGAGTTTCATTCACTACTCTCACACATTCCTCAACAGGAAGCCCAGTATTTTCACCAGTATTCAATAAACCAACTTTTATTCAAGGAGTAAAATGAACAAAGCTAATTTTTAATTATGTAGGCCATCTCAGAACCTTCTTGTACCTAATGGTCCCTTCAGGATTATTCATTATTTTATTTACATTTCCACAACCAACAGCTTGTTAGCGCAGACCTGCATATAATGATGCGTAAAGCACGTAATCAGGCAGGAGGTTGAATGCGAGCTGGTGGAAAACAAGGAGCTAGTGGAGAAGCATTACAGTGGCGAGAACAGCTGTGAAGGAAAATGACTCTTAATAGCAGCCTGCTGAGGTTGGTGATGAGTCTGACGGCAGGCCGCTGTTGACAGGACAAGCCCTGCAGCCGTATCTCTGCAATACAACCTATGAGAGTCCACATGGAAGGAAAAGTTGACCACTTTGGTTTGGATTCCAGTTCAAGGAGCTGACAGAGCACCTGAGCACATCTATGATTTCAAGCAGCAGGAGCAGTCTATCACCACACTGAAGCTCCTCTGCTAAAAATCTCTAAGCTGATGGTAACTTCTTCTCATGTATTTTTCCCCTGCTAGACTGCAGGAGGAATTTGTCAAAACTCCCTTTTGGCAGAGGGAAAGAAAAGGAAGACCACAAAATCCATCTTGCAAATAGGCTGTGTATGTACTGTCACAAACACTACCATAGTGGTGAACCACACCAAATAACTGGAGACTTGAGTTTATGGCTACTGTTATGGGCTTCAGTTTGCCTTGCTTAAGGGTAAAATGCATCTCATGATCACAAGAGGTGAAAACCTGGCAAGGCATATAGACAGAACAGGCCTGAGTATTTTTGGTTAAACAAAGTTTTGCTAAAACTGTTCCTTCATGAAAGCTATATTTTGTTTTGGCAACTTAATGAGAAACATCGAAACTTCAAGCCTACACGCTCCCCATATCCTACCGAGCATTCTCTAGTCAGAAAAGACTCAGGTTTTATCAGGGAATATTTGACAGAACCTACTTTTGCAAAAACACACAAACTCTTTCATTGTATTTCCACTACAGAGCAGAAATAAATTCTGAATTTCTAGGAAGTTAGGCTGCTAGGAAGCCACAGTCAACTCTAATAAACAGGGCGGGAAACACAACCCTGTTAGAAGAACAGCATAGTCAAACGGTTACTCCTGCCTGGCAGGTACAAAGTCTAACACGCATCGACGATCCTATCAGCAAAAGAACAGTCTTACCTACGCCCTTGCCTCCTCAGCCTCGCAATGACTCTCTGCTGATGTCCAGCCACTTTTCAAATTGACAGGAGGAGGCAATGAGCTCTTCTTTACCGCACTCTCTGCTGAATCTCTGAGATCTCACTCTGCAAGAGCTGGCAGGTCTCCAGCCCCAGAATATATCTATCAGGTATTTCTTTAGTCAGGCTACTATAGCTAGCTTGCAAGGAAAGGATTCATCTTACAGATAACCTTAGTCTTTAAGTACTGTGATTTTATCAGCCATGACCTCTTCATAAGAACTGCAAACACACTCATTAAGTGCAACCACCCATGATCATGCTGGAAAGGCACTGAGCCGTTATTGCTTTCAATATTATTATATCCTTCACTGCCTTGGTAAGCGAGAGATGCAAGTACAGTTGGAACTTAAATTATGCAGCATACACAGCAGTGATACTCAGAATCTTAATATTACACAATGTAATGTAATGTTAGTGCTTCATTAATACAGACAGCTGGTCAGAGCCTGTCTTAAACCTGCAAAGGCAAAGAAATCCAGAATTAAGGCTGTCATTTGGCCCTTGCTTGCTCTCAAAAGCTGACACTCCGTTGCAGAGGCAGCCTCTCATTTCAGATGGCTCTCACGATGCCAGACAGCTCCAAGGACAACTTCTTGTTTTTTCATTCTCAGACGTATCCTAAACACTTCTCAGGAAAGAGGAGGGAACGGATGGGACAAGTTTACTTATCCCTTTAGGAAGCTTTTAATTCATTAATCACACATGGAATCTAGACTGCAACCATTTGTCAAAGCATTAAGAGGCCATTCAGTAAGAGGCTATGCTTCTGCCTCCTGATTTTGTCATTACATGCAAATCTCTTAAGAGACAATGAAATTCCTGCTACAAAATTCTCAAGACTGCCTTAAATATTCTGCTGGATAAGGTTAATCTATAGTGCTGAAAGTTGTTTCTTTAAAACATCATCGGTTTCTACTAAACACTACTTATTTATGTATTACTAAAGGAGCAGAGCTTGCTTGATCCAGGGTTTCTAAAGAGACTTGATAACAGCGTTGCTGTACTGACTCTCTTGACTTCACTCCAGGAACACAAATTTTGCCAAAGAGGTTCAGGGAAAATATATCATTATCTCAGGACTGCAGATTATGGGAGTGAACACAGTTACTTTTGCATTTATTCTAAAAGACCAACGATGCTCAGGATTTTGGAGATTTTTGCTTACCTAAGAACTTACAAAAAAAACCCAATGACACAGCATAGGAATTCCCTTCTTCCCCTTTGACATATTTACAGTTTGGACAGTTGCCCATTACGTTACTCTGTCCCCTATATTTTACTATTTCCCCTGCATGTGTGCCCACAAGTACACTTTATCTGCCCCTGTTCTGGTCTCCACGCTATTCTCTTTATCCCTTAAAAACAGGCTTTTGCAGACAGTCTTTAATGAGCACAAGGAAAGATAGTTTGTGAC